CACACCCCACACACACACACACACACACACACACACACACACACACACACACACACACACACCATTGTTCTTCCCATCATGTTGTGCAGCACCAGGCATGTGGGAGGGGCTCTGGAAGGGTCTGTACAGTGAATGAATGAAGGAGGGATAATGTCACCTCCTCCATCCTGTGCCCCGGGCCCAGCCCAGGGCTCTCTTTTGCCTCCCCCAGGCCACAGAAGAGGCTTTGCACTCAAGCCCAGCACAGCCACTGGGCAAACGCCACCCCCTCCCCGTGCCTCGGTTTCCTCCCTGTCAAATGGGGTGAGAGTTGCCACCTCTCGGGCAGTGTGCAGGTCCTGTGAGCTCAGGTCAGCCAAGCGCTTACAGGAGCTGGGACGGTCCTTGTGTGTGACCAATAGGACTCTGCTGAGAGCGGCTCAGGCTGAGGTTCCCCTTGGGGTGGCCTCTTCCAAAGGGATTGAGAAATGTTCGCCCAGCTGGCTCCCTAAAGACATCCTGACCCTGGTCCCATTTATGCAGGAGGGGCTCTGGGGACCCACAGCAGCCCCAGACCGACGTGGCCCACGTTTGGTTCCATTCACATTTGGTTTTCTCCACGCTGAGCCACAGGTCGCATGATATCAGGGGAGGAAGAGTTCTGGGATCATCAGGGTAATTCCCGGTGGGGGCCGATGGGTCCTCAGTCAAGGTGGGCGGGGGAGCCTCTCCTAGCCCTCAGGCCGCCTCTGCTGGCTCTGGCCCCTCTCTCCTTGACCTCGTTGGAGGGAGGAGTGGGCAGCAGCTCTGGCCCCGGTCTCCTGGAGGGAGTGGGGTGAGGCCAGGGGAGGGACAGGCGGCCGGTCAGCCCTGGATGGAGGTCGCTGCTTTCCCAGCCCCCTGCGAGCTCGCAGACATCTGTTCCAAATCCCTGAGGCCTGTTGCTATGCTGAGCCTTCCTGTCTGGGATGAAAGGCAGCAGCGGGGTCTGGTGGCTCCCAGCCCTCCATGGAGGCCATGGGAAGTGAGCAGGCTGGAGCCTTGTAGTGGGTGTGTGGGAGGTGGATGGTCATCAGGGGTAGCACAGTATTCAGGGGGCCCTCACCATGTGCTAGGGACCCCACTAAGTCAGCACCCCATCCCAGCGCCGTTTGTTCTTTTTCTTTGGCCACGCCGTGCGGCATGTGGAATCTTAGTTCCCCGACCAGGGATTGAACCCGTGCCCCCTGCATTGGGAGCGTGGAGTCTTAACCACTGGACCACCAGGGAAGTCCCCGTTTGTTCTTTTATAGACAGGGAAACTGAGGCTCTGAGGATGAAACCAGTGCCTAGGGTCCCACTGAAGACCCTGGGACCTTCCCCGCAGTGCGCTGCATTTGGGGATGATAAACATCCAGGTTATGCCTCAGCTTTTGGCTGGCCTCAGGGGAGTCTCCCTTCTTGCTTGTACACTTTCTTGGACTCCTGAGAAGCTACTGGAAAGACCATTAAGTCCCTGATCAGGTGAGTTCTGAGCCCCTGAGCGAGGGGAAGGTTTCAGGAGGAATGGTGAGTGGGCTTCTGCCCCCCTGCCCTCCAGCCTCAGATCCCGGCTGGGGGCTGCCCGTGTGCAGGGCCAGTTCTCCCTGCATCCATTCAGCATCTGCTCCGTCTTCATGGAGCCAGAAGACGAGCTGGGCCCCGGGAACGATGTGGATGAAGATTTATGCTCAGGGGACACACCCGGGGTGAGCGGGCCTCTCGGAGATCTGAAGGGTGGTGGGAGTTGACAACAGAGTGGAGGGCGTTCCAGGTCAAGGGGAGCCAGGAGGCCGCTCTGTGTGTTCTTGGACCTGCACGGCCTGGATGGCCAGAGCGGAGGGGACAAGAGGACAGCGGGGCCTGGCCCAGTGGGAGCTGGACGTCAGAAGGACCTGCCGGCCCCTGTGGAGCCCGACGCCGGCTGGGTCTCCTGAGCTTTGACTCCACTGCGTCTTCCTGTCGAGTGGGCGGCCGTGTTTGCATTGGACGAGGCCAGTGCCGGGGCGCCAAGTCCTCCTTCCTTCTCCCTGGGGGTTCTGGCTGGAATGCCGGGCCCCAGTCAGGTCAGCGGTCAAGGCAGCGGCCCTGATTAGCCTCTACCACAGAAGCAGCCCCCCATGGCCCTGGGCCCAGCTGGCCCTGGCCGCCTCGCCCCCATCTGGGCTCAGGATGGACCCAGCAGTTGCAGGAGTGGGAAGTCCCAAAGCCCAGGAAGGATGCAGGCAGCCTCCAGATCTCGCCTCCCTCCCCTCCCGCTCTGGCCGCACCAGCTGCCCTTCAGCAGGGCTGAGGATGGGCCGAGACTGCCTCTCTCCTCCTGGTCCTTGCCTTTGCTGTTGCATCTGCCCGGCAAAACTTCCTGTTCCCGCCTTCTCCTGGATAACCCGTATCTCATTCATAAACAAAACAGCCTAGTGCCTACTGCGTGCCAGTCCCTGTACCAAGCCCTGGGGATGCAACAGCGGACAAGCCACTATCTGCCCCACTAGGCTTTGAGGTCACCTCCTACAGGAAACCCTCAGCCCCCAGGATTGGGCAGAGAGCCTGCCTGCATGTTCTTGCAGCCCCTCACCCTTCCCCCGTCACAGTCTAGATCATAGGCGTGAGGTTTTGGTTTGTTTGTGTCCATCACTGGCTCCAGGCTACAGAGGGAATGCCTGTTTTCACAGCTGCACCCCAGCGCCCAGTGCAGGGCCCCCTGCACAGTGGTGCTGTTGGCTGGGTGGATGGATGGAATGACAGCATTTAGTCATGCGTGTGCCGGGGACTGTTGTAAGTGCTTTGCAGGCGTTTACTCATGAAGCCTTTTTATT